GTGCATATATTCACATATTTACTAACATGCACACACAAACAGATGTAGACACACTCATGTGCACAAACACACATCAGTGCGACTCACATCAGTGTACTTTGATGTTTGGTAAGTAAGAGTGAGGCCCCTAGTGGTGAAGTTCAAACAACCTGACCTTTTAGTTCTGCTGAGAGATGAAGGTGTTGAGAGTTTTGTGAAGTCATTTGCAGCACTGGGGGACGTTGCTCCTCGCTGCTGATTAGAGATCAGTTTGTGCGTCCTCACATATAGCGCTCCACCCAGAGAGTTTTCAATAGCTGTTTTGAATTCACAAAAGATAATGACTTCATTACAATAAAAATAAACTGAATTTAAATCTCTATGAAAAATTAAGAGGTTTCTAAACATTACTTGCTATATTATCAAAACATACACCTTGATTAATCAGTAGTAGAAGCAATGGGAGTTTGAAATGTTGAAATCTGTATGCATATTTTCTAACTATAATATTGGGATGTGATACATTCCAGAGATAAAGCCAACAGGTGACTTCACCTATGAGATTTCATGTGATCCTAGACAGGGGTGAGGGATTCATTAAGGGATCCTAGTTTAAACTGACTTAAAATATTTTCTATATGTATAAAACAGTTCAGCTAATTTTGGAACCTGCCTCATATATTGCATTTGAATGCAGGTAAAGGATCATTCTTGCTTTTAAGTCCGAGATACACAGTGAGACTAAACAAATCCAGACTCAGCTCAACTGTGATTCAGTGGAGGAACACAGGCTTTATTCTCAACCACTGTGGGATTTGGTGTTTCCATGGTAACTTATCTTCTGTGACATTTCTCTATGAGGTTCCATTTGTGTCAAAAACGACTGTTTTGTGCTTTGTACTATACATTTGTCTTTGTCTACAGTCATTGCCTACTTGTTCAGGTAAATCAGTATATGTTGACATGTATGTTGTCTATTACTGTTGTCTTGTTCTGTTGTTCTTACTGTCGTCTTGTTCTGTCGTCCTTACTGTCGTCTTGTTCTGTTGTCCTTACTGTTGTCCTTACTGTCGTCTTTACTGTCGTCTTGTTCTGTCGTGCTTACTGTCGTCTTGTTCTGTCGTCCTTCCTGTCGTATTGTTCTGTCACCCTTACTGTCGTCTTGTTCTGTTGTCTTTACTGTCGTCTTGTTCTGTTGTCTTTACTGTCGTCTTCTTCTGTCGTCTTGTTCTGTCATCATAACTTTCATCAGCATGGTAAAGGTAGTTTTAGGTTTGATATTCGCTGCATATTTGACTAGGCTGCTTTAGGGACCGTCTGCAAATTTACCTCCCAGTACAAAACGAAGTCCAATAATTCATTTAATTTAATGCTTACAGGACTATAGTAAATGCCTAGAGGGCAAACTGACTAAATATATTTTGACAATATCTCACCTTAGACAATACTTCCAATTTCTCCTTTATTGTCCGTACAGTGCACAAACATTTTCATGAAAAAATGAAAAAAAAAAAAATTATGTTACAAAGGTTGTAGTATGTTTTAGCAACAAGACTGACTTAGTACAGGTTAGATTTTGCCAATATCTCCTTTACTGTATGTACAGTGCACAAATATGTTTAGAAAAACTACTGTAATCCATCAAAAAGGCTTTTATATGTTCCAAATATTTTTTTAGTATGTACCTATTTACAAGACTAACTTACTACAGGCAACAGTTTGCCAATATCTCCCTTACTGTATGTACAGAATACAAATATTTTATAAAAAAAATTACAGTAATTTACCAATAGTTTTTTTATGTTCCAAAGGTTGTAGTATGTTACTAGATACAAGACTGACTTACTACACGTGAAATTTTGCCAATACCTCCCGTCATATATGTACAGTACACAATTATTTCAATTAAAACATTTTGTACAATCCCCAAAGTTTTTTTATGTTGTTAAGGCTGTAGTACATTTGCAGTTACAAAAATGACTTATGACAGGTGAAAATTTGCTGATACCTCAATTACTGTACGTACAGTGCACAAATATGTTTAGAAAAAAATACTATAATTCACAAAAACTTTTTTTATGTTACAGAGGTTGTAGTACGTTCCTACTGACCAGACTGACTTACTACAGATGCGATTTTACCACCAATATCTCCCTTACTGTATGTACAGTATACAAATATTTTATAAAAAAAATTACAGTAATTTACCAATAGTTTTTTTATGTTCCAAAGGTTGTAGTATGTTACTAGATACAAGACTGACTTACTGCACGTGAAATTTTGCCAATACCTCCCGTCATATATGTACAGTACACAATTATTTCAATTAAAACATTTTGTACAATCCCCAAAGTTTTTTTATGTTGTTAAGGCTGTAGTACATTTGCAGTTACAAAAATGACTTATGACAGGTGAAAATTTGCTGATACCTCAATTACTGTACGTACAGTGCACAAATATGTTTAGAAAAAAATACTATAATTCACAAAAACTTTTTTTATGTTACAGAGGTTGTAGTACGTTCCTACTGACCAGACTGACTTACTACAGATGCGATTTTACCATTATTTCCTTTTACTGTAGGCCTACTATGTACAGTACACAAATATTTTTAGAAAAAAAAGTAGTAATTCACCAATAGTTTTTTTTTCATGTTTCAAAGGTTGTAGTACGGCAAAATCTCACCTGTAGTAAGTCTATTGTAACAAGGACTGTAATACAACCTTTGGAACATGATTAAACCCTTTCAGTTTCTAAATATTTGTGTACTGTACATGCAGTAGAGTTATTGGCAAACTCTCACCTGTATTAAGTCAGTTGTAGCGTCTGGACCACTCCAACACACAATATATATTTTGTTAGCTAGATTTCACAAATACTTGTAACTAGGAACATACTACAATGCTTGGAACATGAAAAAACCTACTGTTACATTACTGTAATTTTTCATAAAATATGTGTGTGCTGTATATACAGTAAAGGATATATTGACAAAATCTCACCTGTAGTAAGCCAGTCTAGGAATGTACTACAATCTTTGGAACATGAAAAAAAAAACTTTTGGTGAATTAATGTATTTTTTCTAAACATATTTGTGCATTGTACATACAGTAAAGGAGATATTGGCATCTCACCTGTAGTAGGTAAGTCTTGTTGCTAAAAACATACTACAACCTTCGTAACATTAAAACATATTTATAGCTAATTTTTTTCATGAAAATATTTGTGTACTGCACGGTAAGGGAGATATTGGAAGTATAGTCTAAGGTGAGATATTAGCAAAATTTATTTATTCAGTTTGCCCTCTATGCATTTACTATAGTCCTGTAAACATTCATTTGAATTAATTATTGAACTTCGTTTTGTAATGTAAGGTAAATTGGCAGACGGTCCCTAAAGCAGCCTAGTCAAATATGCAGCAGATATCAAACCTATAACTAACTTTACCACGCTGATGAGAGTTATGATGACAGAACAAGACGACAGAACAAGACGACAGTAAGGACGATATTAAGGACGACAGAACAAGATGACAGTAAAGACGACAGAACAAGACCAAAAACAACAGTAAGGACGACAGAACAAGACAACAGAACAAGACGACAGTAAGGACAACAGTAAGGACGACAGAACAAGACGACAGTAAGAACAACATTAGGACAACAGTAAGGACGACAGAACAAGACCAAAGACAATAGAATAAGATGGCAGTAAGGACGACAGAATAAGATGACAGAACAAAATGACAATAAGCAAAGACAATAGAATAAGATGACAGTAAGGACGACAGAATAAGATGACAGAACAAAATGACAATAAGGACGACAGCAAAAACAACAAAGAAAAATATGGCAGGACGACAGATTAAGACGACGTTAACAGACAACATACACGACAACATATACTGATTTACCTGAACAAGTAGGCAATGACTGTAGACAAAGACAAATGTATAGTACAAAGCATAAAGCAGTTTTGGCACAAATGGAACCTCATATTTCTCTGGCTAAGGGAGTGCGTTCATGAGCAAAAGACCCTTATCATAACCTGCTCCATCACTTTACAAAGCAACAATGCACAAGTTTGTATGTTCATCTTCGGAACACAAATTAAGATATTTTTGATTAAATCTAAGAGCTTTCTGACCCTGCATAGACAGCAACAGAACTACCACGTTCAAGGCCCAGAAAGGTAGTAAGGACATCGTTAAAATAGTCCATGTGACATCAGTGGTTCAACCTTAGTTTTATGAAGCTACGAGAAGACATAGAAAACAAAAATCACGACTTTATTCAACAATTCTTCTGTGCCAGTCTCCGCCCGCACATCCACGAGAGTACCATGACGAGTACCACGACGCATGCGTGTAATGTTGCTGGCGATATGACACAGAACCCGGTTCCCAGTTGTTAGCAAGCAGAATAAGGCACACGCGCATGTGTCGTGGTACTGCCATGAATGCATGTTGAAGTCTGACTCGGAAGAGAAGAAATTGTTGAATAAAGTCATTCATTTTGTTTTCTTTGTGCACAAAAAGTAGCTTCATAAAATTAAGGCTGAACCACTGATGTCACATGTACTATTTTAATGATGTCCTTACTACCTTTCTGGGCCTTGAACGTGGTAGTTCCATTGCTGTCTATGCAGGGTCAGAAAGCTCTTAGATTTCATCAAAAATATCTTAATTTGTATTCCGACGATGAACGAAGGTCTTATGGGTTTGGAACGACATGAGGGTGACTAATTAATGACAGAATTTTCATTTTTGGGTTTACTAACACTTTAAGTTTGACTTGTTCACAAACAAGATCAGTCTCGATTAGTGCCGCTCCGAATGTCGTTCAGACTCAAAACTGACTCGTTTAGTGAAATGGGCGTGTTCGTTCAATGGGTTCAACCAATAAGATTGCATCCTCACAAGCCGGGGTCGAATTCTGTTGGTTCGGGCATCACTCTTTGAAGGCAGGGAAGCAGTCACGCGCTTCAAAGGGGAGAGACTTCAGCGAACGAAACATGTGAGTCAGTGCATGGAAGTGAACGAGAACGATTCGTTCATTTAAAAGATTCGTTCTGAAACACCGATTCGTTAACAGCTCTAACTGTGATCCACTTCGAGACATTTAGCTAAATGTTTTGGATGCAGTCTTGGTTACCGTTTTTGCGTGAAAAAACTTAAAACTGGCGTTCACAGCAGACCGCAGAACCTCACCAGTGGAAACTTTTTAGTCACGGAAACATTGTTCTTCTGGGTTTCTGGTTTTGGATCCTTTGCACTGTCCCAGGCAATGTAGTTTCAGTGTTTCTCTGTTCTGTATAAGTTGTTATCATAACCGCCGTTTTAATATGTTTTGAAGCATCTGCTTTTATATGCTGGCCGATCAGCTCGTGCGAACCTGCCAACGCCTTTACTCTGGCTTCGCTATTCTTCAGGCTGCAGGAAAATTACTACAACGTTCGGTATTAAAGATTCTTATTAATCGTTTTATAAACATTTCGCAAAATGGGTTGCACGTTAAGTGTTGAAGATAAAGCAGCGATGGAGAGGAGTAAGATGATTGATCGGAACCTGCGAGAGGACGGAGAAAAAGCATCCAGAGAAGTCAAACTACTGCTGCTCGGTATGATACAGTAGACTTTCTTAATATCAGTGTTTAAAAATGCAAATGCATGCTATTTTGCGCATACAACGTGTGCCTATTTATTTTTTCTGTAATTTAGTTTTCTTTCCCGAATCGCTTTCACGCTTCAACTTGATTGTCTTTAGATGCTATTAATGCAAAGTAGACCAAAAGTGAACTTGTCACTGCAGATTGTCATGTGCACATTTGACGCAGCAATTAAACGTACGCATTCAGCTGTAGCCTAATAGGTTGTAATGCTTTGCAGAGTGTAAAACAAAGATTGACAACTCGTTGAATATTATTCAAACCTGTTCTCATGGATGTGGACTAAATTGCAGTGGATACAGAATGTGTTGTGTTTGTACTAGTCTTGGCTCTGTGCTGTCAAAACATGTGACCCCAGTGTCCCAAAACATCCAGTGAGCATCACATTTTATTACCATATTTAAACTACATGTGTGACATGAGAAGCAAAACCACACACACCCAGTGATCACAGCAAAACAGTGGAAAGTAATGGAGTGATTATGGCAGTATTCCAGCTATCAAAGCGTGTTGGAATGCAGAAGATAATGGCTGATTTGAACCATTAGAATACTGATGTTTTGTCTGTCTGTTTTTGGATACTTTGTTGGTAACATACCAATTTTTTGAGACAGAAGCACCCTAGATAACAGAAGCAGGCAGTCAGCTAGTAATAGTCAAAACTATTGAAAGGTCTTGGGTAGTTTTGAACCATTTAGTTGTGTTAATCGCTTCTGTGTGTATTATTTAACACACAAAGAACATTTAACGTTACATTGTCAATGAACAGTATGCCACTTCAGTCTATCGTGAGTTTAAGCACTCTCAAAAAACTCCCCTTATAATCAGTAAAGCTGTTTATACACTGTTTGATGAATGAATCTCCTACTTGCATCATACGTACATCTGCACTTTGTTGTTTATGATGAGAGAATACACTCAGCGAGTGCACACACTGAACAAAACTCCTGTGTTTCAGCGATGACTCATCTAAATGCCACTGATTGGCCGCTGCGTTCATAAACTCAACAGACTCGTACGTGATTGGTTATAATGCGCAACATTGAGCAGATCTAAATTTAATGCTGCAGTCAACACTTTTCATTTAATTTTCATTTTATTCGCGACTGCCATAATGGATTTAGTTTAACTGCAGCAGCATTTTTGTCCATGGGTGTTGCCATAATTTCTACAAGCGGAAACTGATAGCGCGGATATTACGTAATTGACAGGCGACAATTATTGACGAGCCATTATTTAAAATTGGAATTTCTCTGGATTTACAAATCCTTGGGAACTTTTGGGATAACATAAATATATAACAATGTGCAAGTGGTTTTTGGATATTTTATTACAAAAGTCTTACACATTGTGCCTTTAAGGTTTTCATTTTAAAGCCTCAGATAGACATGGCGTATCCAAGAAGGGGGGGTGGAGGAACATTTCAATGAGTCGAATATTACATGCTTCATTAAACATAGAATGCAGTTCATAAATAAATCCGCTCTGAAAGAACTGTCCAAGGACGGCAAGTTCTAAGATTACAGCTGGACAAAGACCAACTCCTGTGGCCTGAGTGATCACAGCGAACTAGCGAGTCATCCTGAATTACCAATTATTTTTATACGATCTTGCTGTTTTAATAGTGCTGGTGAGATTAGACAGCATGGCGACATCCCTGTAAGCAAGAGGATTGCAGTTATCTAGCTAAGTTGACTATGGATGAGTTGTAATTAGAATTGCACAATGAGCTCTGAGCTTAATCACATTGTGAGAACTCGCTTGTGGCTTTTCTTTGTGTTCTCTGTGACTCTCCTGATATCAGCAGATTCAAGGGGTTTTAGGCTATGATGACTCTACTATTACTTCTGGCTGAACTGTGGGTTGTTTAAAGGGATACTCCACCCAAAAAACAAAAATTCTGTCATAATTTTCTCACTTTTATATTTTTACAAACCTGTGTGATTTTCTGTCTTCTGTGGAACACACAAGATATTTTGAAGAAAATTGGGAACCAAACTACAGTGGAGCCTATTGACTTTCAGTTTAATTATGAAAAAAAACACAGAGACATTTCTCAAATTATCTTTTTATGTTTCAAAGAGAAAAGAAAGTCCACTGTTGTTCATCTCTTTCCATTCGACAACTGTTATATATCAGTGTCAGTGCTTGAAGTGGGCTGGCCTGGTAGTATGCACCGGTACCCAGTACCGGCACTTCAATATTTTAGTCTTTAGCGTAGCAGCACTTTTTCGTGCTTACCGGCACTTCTAACATGTTGCCCAACACCGGTACTGAGTCAAAGCATCAGTGTCTGGGTGATTAGAAATGACACTATAAAGTACACTACCCAGGAGGTCATTTGAATCCGGTAAACTTCTGGAAGGTTCACGATTCCAGTTAAGGAATCTGGGAATGCATTAGTAATAAGTAATAAGTTCAAAACAGCGCGAATGCAAAGAAAACACAGATGATTTCATCGGAGATGGCGGAGAGAATAGTGACTCGTGTCCAGGTGGCAGTAAATTATTTTTTTCCGGTAAACTTCTGGAAGGTTCACGATTCCAGTTAAGGAATCTGGGAATGCATTAGTAATAAGTAATAAGTTCAAAACAGCGCGAATGCAAAGAAAACACAGATGATTTCATCGGAGATGGGGGAGAGAATAGTGACTCGTGTCCAGGTGGCAGTAAATTATTTTTTTAGTGCATATTTGGCTTAAAAGCACGAGTGTTTTATAATGAATGCCGGCTGAAGGTGTTTTAAATTATGCGCTGGACAGTGGTTTAGTTATTCTGAATGGATCCGTATAGTAGCATGTTCAGTCAGGTTAGGGCAGCAGGTTTAGTGGTCTAGTGGTCTCCCTGTGGTCCTGTTTGGTATCGCAACTTAACTGGTGCTTATTTATATTAAAGGGGTCATATGATGTTGCTAAAAAGAACATTATTTTGTGTATTTGGTGTAATGTAATGTTTATGCGATTTAAGGTTAAAAAAAACACATTCTTTTCCACATAATGTACATTATTGCTTCTCCTCTATGCCCCGCCTTTCTGAAACGCGTTGATTTTTACAAAGCTCATCGTTCTGAAAAGCGAGGTGTGCTCTGATTGGCCAGCTATCCAGTGTGTTGTGATTGGCCGAATACCTCAAGCGTGTGATGGAAAAATTGCGGCCCTTTCCATACTGTGTTTCCGTGTGTCCCGGCGCGACTAGATAAAACCAATAAAACCCATTACAAACGAGGCATTTGTTGCATCAAGTGGGGACATAATTACTGATTATAATGACTTATACTGTGTTTTTACGCGTTGCGTTGCGTATTGCGCCGCGTAAACATAAAACCATGTCTGCATTTGTGATCGGAGAAATGACAAACAACAAGTGCTACACTACACTGCTTAAACTCACGTTTGAATCATCAGTGGCAAATTCTTTAAATATAAAAAACGTACTTACAGGCTGTGAGTCAGAAGCGCCGGATTGTCCTTGCAAAGATGGAACTGCCCCACTTTATAGAAACATTGTTTTCTATAATTGGCCTTTTGGAAGGCCAAACAAAGTAGTTTTCGCTTTCACAACAAAACACACAGCGGCTTAAGTGAGCGGTGCCTGGCGGATTCGACGAAGGAGGCTTGTGGCAACCACATGTGACAACCCTGGGCTGGACTATATGCTGGATATCGTCCTCTTTTGGAAGGCCAAACAAAGTAGTTTCGCTTTCACAATGAAACACAAGGCATCTCAACAACATGGTGGCAGCGGCAACAATACTACAGCGAGAATAAAAGTTACGCCTTCTTTGTTTGCGTGAACATTTGGGCGGTGTTATGTAAATCTTCTCACACAGTGACGTAGACATGTGGGGGCGCGTTTAAACGAGGAATTTTAGGAGGGCGTGGACAAGTCTTAACTTTTATAAAGAATATCTCTTTGGATTTGAGACTTTAGTCTTTGCAACTTTACAGATCTTCTTTATGCACCAAGAGCTTGTAACACTCCAAAGAGAAAGGAAAAATTTTACTCGCATCATATGACCCCTTTAAAAATGCTCTAGACAAATTTCTTTCTTTCTGCATTATATACATACATTGGGAATTATGAAAAGTAATTAATTAATTAATGATTTTTTTATGATGCATTCAAGTCCTTCAGAGAACTGCTCGAGAACTATTCTTGAGTTGGGAAGTCGTAATTAAGACGTCTGGTGCGTTCATGTCATTTTGGTTGGAACAAGATGATGAGTAATGTGTTTTTGTTTTAGTTTTGAATTGAATCAATATATATTCTATCATAATTGTGCAATGCTGTCAAATTTTGACATGTAATATGTAATAAGTTTTATTTGAAATGAAAATAAAAAAATTCATTAAACAACAAATTTAGCATCAATACAGATTCTGCATCTATTGTGTTGACACTGACAAGCCCCTAACACTAAAACTCTTATCTTAAAGAAAGTTCAGAGTTTCCCACTGTGGAAAGATCATATTTATGAGTTGAACCCACATGAATGCCACAATCTGTTTAAAAAAATTTATTTTGTCTTCCACAGAAAAAAAAATAAAGGGAAGTAAATAATGTAATTTTTGATTTGAACTTCCCATTTAACTCTCAGTTTCTGAAAGAAACTTTTTGCTTGTCAACTTTGGGATGAATTCTCAATGTAATATTAGTTTCCGTTTGATAACACCATTATCCCACAAGAGGATATTGCTCAGTGGGCTTCAAGGGTCAGCTCACTGCTCAGTGTAAACCTGCACTATTGAAAATCAAAAATAAATAGCAAAAGATAAAATATATAAATCACAAAGCATAGCTCTGCTCAGCTTGGGTTAATAATAGCGGCCATCTTAACCACACTGCACATGTCACTGCAGCTAACTGAATAATTACAGCAGGAGTAAGCCATTCACACACCCATTCAAAGTGTCCACAGATGTGTATGTGGAGATTCTGTGGCTGTGCCGCACA